CATGGGCTATTAAATCTGATTGATGAAACAATGCAGGTGTAGACAAACCATGTGGATCATCATCACACTTATCAAATGATAAGGTTATATCAGGTGCTTCTGGAAAAAGTTCCGCTTTAATTAATTCATCGACTAACTCGGAAGCTGCACGATCAATAGTCTGATATAGTTCATCAACTGCTTCTTGAATTAAATCATTGGTAAGGTCTTCACAGACACGAATAACGGGAATATCTGGCAAGTTGTTAAAAGTTGTTGTAGGAAGTAAATAAAACCAAATGTTTTTAGCGTGTACATCTCGTCTGATTTTCGATTGCAATAACTGGCGATGTAATTTAACCGGAAGAATAAGTGGATGAAAGTGAGCAAGAGGACTGGATTTCTTATCAACGTGATTACAATCTGATTTCACCTTCGAGTAAGCTTCATTCTATAAGAAGAAATTTGAAAATATAGGTTTATAAATTACCTATTCAGGAAAATACAATATCCACTAAGTAGAGAAAGGTTAGAGATTTAGTCTAACTAATCTACTTAATGTACAATTTATTTGAAATGGTCATTCCAAATCTTGGTAGTAAAACTTACAATTCTTCAGACAGTTTATCCCAATTTTATAAAAACTATAATAAAAAACTACAATATGACCTCCAATAACCTATGTTCTGAGTTATTTATGATAACATCTCGGATTACTGCTGAGTTGCATGGTCTATGAGACCTCAAGTGGAGGACAAATAGTTGGCAGTTTTATACAACTACCTCTCAAACTTTTCGGCCATGTTATAAACTAATCGCCTCTCCACTTTCCAATCAGACCTACAGCAAAACATGATATGCCATGTGAAATCCGGTCAAGTAACATTTATAAACCATGTTTATGATACTTAGATCAGTGTTTCAAGATCGTGAACAGCTTTCATCAATTTATTAAATATCAGGTACTTAATACGAAATCCCGACTAATATCGTAGATTGGTTAAGGTTAGGATACCGACTCAGTGGTCTAGAAGTTAAGAGTTTGCGCGCGTGACCGAAGGTCCTGGTTTCGTGGATGCACATTGCTGAAGGGTCTCACAATAGAACGAAACGGACGTCCAGTGCTTCCAGGTTTCCCATGGTGGTCTAACATCGATCGATTCATGATCTCAATCAAAAACATAATAATCTCCACAACCCCATCCTGATAACATCGTGCAATCCTGAGAGTGCAATTAGTGTATGATTTGGCTTGACAACAGAATTGATAATCACATAATGAGCATATTTTTTTAATACAGTGCATCACAAACTGTGTACATAACTTATCATTTATTAAATGTTCACATTAGTAAAACAATAAAATTGTGAATATTTTATAAACTGAAATATTCTCGTCATAAATCACTTAGCTTCATGTGTTGTACTTGAGAAATAAAAAGACTGAATTTACAATATTCTCCCTTTGTTTCACCTATAATCATAAAACATTGAAACTATTGAACAAAACTTAAGCTTTATTTAAAATATTATAAAGTTATACTTAATTAAAATGTAATTTTCAAATAACTTAAATATTTAAGAAATAAGCTGACAATCAAACAAAATTAAATCACATAATATTTTCAATCAAAGTTAAACATCATCAATAAGAAGAAAAAACAGCTTCTATTAGTTGTCATGACACCAAAAGTAAATAAATAAGTCATATCATACTGAAGATTGATTTGTTTACATTAAAATAAATTCTAAAATTAAGAAAAATAAATTTTTTTAAAAAAAAAGCAAACTTAAATGCACTAGCAACGTTTTACCAAAAAATTCCAAATCAATGTGTAGAACAGAAAAAAAAATTTTTTTTGTTGTCGTCGTGATAAATTCGAAATTGTTACGAAACACTATGTGATAAATTTGAAAATAATTTCTAAGTGCAGTAAAAAAACGTTTTTTTCATACACATAGTTCCTTTTATTATCTTAAAGAGAGCAAGAACAAAGATTGGTGCAGAATAATATGAATTCATTTTATTTCGTTATATAGCGTCAAAATTTAATTAGCTGAAATCAGCTTGTAAGATGAATGATTACTTATTTATAATTACCATGTGTCCAATGCTTGAATTGACTTTTTGTTAAGTTTTACAAATGATTTGAATTTCCATGGAACATCAAAATAATTAATTTAAAATAACTAACGATATATATTATCTACGTCCATCGGTGATGCAGTATGTTCTGTTTCACCATATAAGCTTTATTTCAAATTCTTTTACAATAAAGAGAGCAAGAACAAAGATTGGTACAGAATAATATGAATTCATTTTATTTCATTAGGTTCTCATCAGCTGCTTACAACCTAAAATATTTAAAATTCAACATTATTACAGATATTAACATACTTATACAATAAGAGGGTGATTAAGGATAAATAAATGTATCATGGTGTAGCGAAGATTCCGATAGAGTTAATGAAGTCATAAAATTTTGTCTGGAATAAATGGAGTTTGAGAGGGAAAGTTCCAGAACATTGAAATAGTGTTTAGAACTCATGAAAATGGTAATAAAGAAAAAATATGAATTGAAACCAGTCAGTTATGTTTTTTGATTTTATTCTCAATAAAAATAATCATTTAAATAAACAAAATTAATTATCATGATTAATAATTTTATTGAAATAAAGAATGATAATTGAAAAAGTATATTTCTATCATGAATCGTAGGTAAAAATTAAAATATAAATTACATATTTTTTTAAAAAAATAAATAAGTAAACAAATTCTATTTTCAATATGGGATATGTCCCTGTATCCGAGTTGAAAGCGAACGCTGGCTACGGGAACATATCCCAGTTTGGTTTCATAAAAGTAAAAGGAAAACAGTTAGGAGTTCTATACTTGAACACCTAATCGACTAAAAATTCTATTTCACTAATTATTAGTGCAATTTAAAAAAAACATGTTAATATATAGATTCTAATCGTACAAATGAACTGATTAATTGATTTTATCAATTCAATCAACAATTATGAAATATTTATTCTTATCAAATTTGATATTCAATGTTAATTTGTATAAATTGAATTAAATCGTTCAATTATATATAATTTTTATTAGTAGTATTTTACAATGATCATTTTAAGAAAAATACACAATGTCTATTATTATTATTATTATTATTATTATTATTATTAGTAGTAGTAGTAGTAGTAGTAGTAGTAGTAGTGGTAGTACTAATATTAAAACCATAATGATATAAACGATCTAACAAGAACAAAAGAGAAACCAATAAACTGAAACTTGGAAATTACAAGAGTAAAAGTATTATAAAGCAAATTATATTTCAATAATCAAACACTAATTCTTATACAATTAGTTAATTACTATGGTAACATATCAAATAGTAATAATTTAATATGAAAATAATAATAATAAATTGTAAATAAATATATTATGAATAATATGGAGATAGAAAATTATTCACTTTTACATTTTACATAAATTTAAACATTGTATATTATATGTGGATAATATTTGTACATACTCCGAATGTAGACAGGATAATTAAACATCTGAAGATAAAACAAAGTAAGAAAATAATTTGTTTTTAAAAATGTTGGTTGGTTTCACACTTTAATTTAAAAAAAAACAACTTGAAAAACTTTAATGAAAAATAAAAGAAAAGAAGAGATGGTAAGAAAGAAGTTAAAAGAATATATTGAGGGTAAATATTTCAAGATTGTTCTTCTTAAGTTTGAATACAAAATAAACTATTGATTGATGATAATATTCTTTTCTGTTTTAAAGATATTTCATGTAGAAACTTAAAGATTTTATATAAATGATTCTGATATTAAATAACTGTTAAGCAGTTTTAGTTTATAGTAATTTTTTAGTTCAACACAATGATTGATGTATCCGTGATTAATTGGTTGGTGAGTGGATGAATCTTCATCGATTCATGTGATTAAGAAATGTATTATGTATGCATAACCAGCACCTATCTCGACATGTGATGTTTGCCGGCTAGATGAAAACTAGGTATGAGCAAGACAAAATATATCATGGATTCAACGATTGTTAGACAGTCCATATAGGAAGGTGTGGACTACCAGTTTTAGGTTCACAGGATTATTGTAACCAACAATTAGAGACGCTGAATGACACAGCTTAGATGCAGTCACTCTTTCTTTACCTTTAGATCTTGTTTTCTAAAACTATTAACACGTCATTTGGTCTTCCTGAATCACAATGTTTATGTCTAATGATTCCTACTATTTCTGACACTACTGTTGTAGTGAATGAAGACTTGGTGACGAAAATCAATTTAATGCGTAATGCAAAACTACATAAAGCCTTCATAAAATATGAAAACCATACACTAAATACATTATTTGCACATCTTCCTACAATTGTCTAACACATGCTTCATGATTCTTCCAATTCTGTTGTTATTACAGTTGCTCTCTATCTCCCTTCCTGTTCCCTTCAACCCAGTCTTCTGCTAGCAGGCATTCTACTTTCGACTGGTGATGCATACTTATATCTGCCAGCATAAGTGGCATATACCACAATGATATTTCTAAAACTCCATCTTGTTGTGGTAACTTGAACTAAGGCAAATATATTCTATGTTGCTTACAACTAACTGATTGATTAAAGTAATTAATAGTAATATATCTCATTCTCCAAGTACAAGTTTATATGTTTAACAGTTGTTAGGCAACGTTCATTTATTGATAATCCTTATGAAATGAAACCTAAAAATTTTACTATATGGTTGTACCGATTTTTACAAAAAAGGCATACAGTAAAAAAAACTTTTCACATCTTGCTGAAGAATATTGGTTACTTTTTGAGGCCCAGTATCTGACTGAGGTGTGAACGTACGAATGATGTTATCGAAATACACATCCCGACTACCTTCATACATAATTATCAATTTAATCGACCTTAGAGAATAACGGAATAAGTCAAATACGATAACGTATTTTGAATACGTATGTTTCGTACACTAGCTGAGCCGGACATACAACCAAAGAAACAAAGTGGAGAAGGCGAAGGGAGAACGAAGTAGAGAATGTCGTCGGAAATATGGGAAACGAAGCGACGGGGAGAAGAGAAGGTGAGGGAGGCAACTCAACCTGATCAAGCGCGACTCAATATTCATAGTCAAGCAAAGATAAGCTAAAGACACGTAATGAATAGGATAAGCAATTAACAAACATACACTCATTTAAAAACAGTCATGGTTAATAAGCGAATAATTAGCAAAGTCAAAATGTGACATGAAAAGAGTCAATAAATCAGTCTGCCCGGAGGTTACGATAACCTGTGCGGGCTTGACATAAGACTAGACACTACAATTTAGTACATGGAAAAAATAATCATAAGAAAAACTAACAAATACTTTGAAATCCCGATTATCCTTGTTTCAAACTTTTTTATACAATTGTAATTAGAATAATATTCTAGCCTAATGAATTATCTCATAATACATGAAATGATATGGAATAACTCGTGAGACTATAATCTATGGACGACCTTTGAGCGACGCCCTAGTGACCGTGAGAACGCCTATCTACTTATTAGGGCTAAACAAAAGTCACAAAACAGTTTGATGAATAAGGATTATGATTTAAAACAGATGGTTACGGTTAGGAATTAGGTTCATTGTTTTCATCACGAACTGACATAAGCTAAAATGTCAAAACTCTATTTAGACAAATGGGTGAATGAATTCCGTGCAAATATCCAATACCTGTTATCCTAAATCTGATTAGTTAGTCCATAAATTATAGACTTGCAGAATAATTTAGTATTTGTCTTGTTGACAAAACATAATATTAGACCTAGTATGGAGGTACATTACTCTACTAAGAAATATTTTGCATTGAAAATATACTAAGTAAATGATATTTAAATAACATTGAGAGTTGATCACACAATGTAATTTGTAAATCAACACAATTGTGACAAAGAAGACTTAGTCAAGAGTGAGTACGAAACTACTTAACATGTATAGATATGGAATAAATAATTGTATAGTCTATTAATACAACATTTCGAAGAAATATTTAGAAGCTATTAATCATTAGTTTATATCATGTTTGAAAGTGAAAAGAAATCTTAACTATAATTGGATTTGAACTGACAGACTGTGGATAGGGAATTGAGTGTTCTATCGACTAATGAGTTATAAGACTTGACATTGGAGTGGATGTCACTTTGACGCTGGACCCTCAGCATGCATGAATTAAATATAAATATTCATTTTCTAAGTGTAAATAAAAATAGAAAGCTTATTTATTTAAGCATTTCAAACTGAGTAATTTATAAATAGAACACATGTACTACTTCATGTATTATCTTCGTGTTACGCAACGTGCGTAAGTTATGCAATGATCTATCTTTTGACAGGTTAATTTGACGTCGAATAGAAATCAAATAAAAATTTGACTTTATTTTTAACATCTCGATTTAGGTGTAAGGTAGTTGAAGAGAATCGGATGGAAGCCCTGGTAGATCTAGGTTTCATACTAATTAGTACTAATCAACAGATTGAGTATACAATCTTCGTGGAAATGATGCTTCTCATGAAATTTTATATCACATCCCACTGTAGTCGAGGATGATACCGTTGAACTATTCGGGTTGCGACTAATCTCCAACAGGATTGAGATTTTTTAAACTGATTGGTAACTAAGTAGTATCAAATTTCATAGATCTCCAGTTCATAGTGCTGATCAGGCTATCAAGTTGGACTTTGGAGACTAGTTTTTGAGTGATTGTAACAGTGAATGCCACGGTTTTGAATTCCGCAGGCAGCATCAGTTGCATCAATGTTACAAGTACGCCTCACTGACAACTACCAAATAGCCCGGGGTCTGCACCTAAAAGCTTCCCTCTGATTGCTTTCAACCAAAGAACATCAAAACATAGAACACAGGGTACCAAATCGCTAGTGACCACATTCAAACATAATCGATAGAATTCGATTAGTATCAAGGACTAAATACGTGTTATTCGTTAATATTCAGTAATCAATCAGTGTAAATAATCACATTCTGGATCAGATCTATGATAAAATTGAATTTCAATTCAAAATAATCAAACAATTACTTTTGGAAATTGAAACGTTGAAGTATCAGGACGGATAATTGACTTGTCATTTTGTTGAAATTGTGATCTTCCGAGGAATGGAATAAAAGAAAAAACATCAAAAAGCACAATTTAGTACTTATTAAAATTAACAGTGAAAAATAATATCTGAGGTTATTTGCAACGTTCTGATGTTCGCGAATTACGTCGTAGCCAACATTCTTAGTCATATTCTCATTCATTTAGTAGGTGGGTACTGCATACTGCAGTGTATACTTCATTAAAGATTTCTTTTTATGCCCTAACATTCACTATATTTAGGCAATTCCTTAGCTATATCAGGCTGTGCTACAACACTGGACACACAAAAAAGTTGCAGATAACTTCACCTGCAGTAATCCATTCGAATCGTTGAATTTAATAAACTATGGGAAATGTTTAAATTCTCTAAAAACCACTTATTTACTCATCATTTTATTATTTTGTTTCACGAAAATTCAAGTCCTCGTTTAAGATATTCACCACTAGAGCCATTCTTCACATTAATGTGAACAAATAACCCGTCTTACCTATTCGTTCGTTGCCAATTCTTCACCTTACTTCCAAGGACATTGCGAATTTATTGGTAGTCAGTAGTTTCAACTCTCAAGTACTGGTTTTTATTTTGAGTACATCTGTGGATGAACAGTTTAAATATATGATTATTGGTCACTGTGTCATCCATCTAAATATTATTTTCTACATCCGGGGTTAGAAAAAGTTCAGTATTGTTCACTTGCACATTACATGTATGATAACAGTCTAATATATGAACATCAATATGGACATCCAGTAAAACCACCTCACCAAAAACACTAATTAACAGCATAGTTCAAGAAACAAAAGCCAAGAAATTTTAGTAAAACTAATCACTGAAATCAACAAAGAACGGCTTCATTGACTTTTACAAAGTTTGGCCTCAAATAAACCTCTCGTGTATATAATACTGGAAAGAGTGAATAGTAGTCATACACTACCCTTACCAATTCATAGATCTGGTTAGCCAAACGAGTGATATAAATGTTCAACTCTATCAAATATGCAACAGACTATAAATCATGCTATTACCTGTGTGGTTTTCAATAAAAACTATGTCGACATGGCAGCTGATTGATTGAGGAAATATTCAGTTGTGAGAAATATTGATTCGAACAGTAGTATTTATAAATAATTCGAGAAGTATTTGTTTAACCTTAGTAATATTTACTCTTAATTTCCTCTACATGCTTTACTAAATAAAGAAAATATTGAAAATATTTTAAACCTTGCAAATAACTCACTTGATAAATGTTTTCAACAGTAAAGTAGTACAAATATACTTACATATCGTCGATTATTTTGCAGTTAATGGACATAAATAATGGGTAATCATTAACCTCCTTTCAATTATAACGCTCAATTTATCATTTCCTAGGCAAATTAAACTTAATAAGAAATAGTTTCATGTAGATCAGTAATTAATTATAGTTTGATATACTTACTAAGTTTTTAGTTCTAATTTAATAAGAGCTTGAAGTATTACAAAGCTAGGTAAACGAAGTAGATCAAGTGAAGTTTGAATTTGAGATGTATCATTCAATGAAAGTAGAGTGTTTAAATTAATGAACTGAATTTTTACATTATTCTTTATTTAAGGGCATATATATATATATATATATATATATATATATAAAACTTACAATGAAAGCACGTCTGATTTATAATTTTTGCATACTGAATCATCTTTCTTGGTAAGAGGAAAATTATTCAGCAATCTTCTGTCATCATGAATATAAGTTAATTTATTAGCCCATCGCTGACGAATAGCATTCTCTTCTAACTCAGCTTCATCAATTTGTTTTAAAAGTTCTTGAGCAGCAGAACAAAGTACGCGACAATCATCAAGATCTATGTAATATGAGTATACATAATAGTAGGTATTTTATAAAAATACAAGTCAATCATAAAATATGTGCTATTTTTGAAAAGCAACAAGGTAACTACTTTCAACTATACTATTATTAGTATCTAACCTATGACCAAAATTTATAGAGAAGATTTGTAGCCCAGGTGGATAGTTTGGTTGGAGTTTTATCCACTGACCTAAATGATTAGGATGTGGAGCTTTCACTGTTCTTCTGGATAACATTATCAGTACATACCTCAAGTAGAAGTAGCTTAATGACATGTATAAATGTCATGAATGTCACCACAATGGCAGTAATTTTTGACACAATAAACGAAGAAAGATCTAAAGAGATCCGTCTGAAGACTAATATTAGGTGTTATTGAGCTCTATGGTAACGATCTGACTCCATGACATTGTCGAAGGAACGAACCGTGAACACAAATTCTCTGTTTGGTTTTGTATATTTTACTTAAACTAACCCCGTTTAGGTGATGGCAGTAATAAAAAGCTGAATACGAATTAGGCTGGAAGAATTGATTTCAAGCACTCTTTTATCCAGAAGAACGATAGTAAATGTGAAGCCCAGATGACAAACGTGGCTGCTCGATTTGGTTAAAATATGATTCAACATTTGTAGGTATGATAGATACAAGAAAGTGTGTAGATACGTACTATCATGCGCACATCTTAAGGTCACATGTGTAAATGACAAAACGAGTGGAACGACTAAAGTAGTTCATCTATCCAAAAATTAGGATAAATCGTATAGTGGTGTAACAATACTAAACGCTACAGTTCTCTGAAGTGGATGGTTTATTTACTGAGCTTTCATTGTTATTCTGGAAAGCCAAAGCTTATGTTTAGTGTTTGAAGGCATTCAGAAGGAAACTGTAGACCTAGGTATTGTCCTAGTTGGCATACAGCAGCAAAGCTTACTCGCGACTTATAGGATTCGGACCCACATAACCTAGCTTTATGACGGTGTCAACTAGAAGATAAGCTGGATCCACGGTTTCTTGCCGACAAATTCCAACCCTTAAACATCCCAACATAGTGAATGTGATGTCTAGACACTTTAACTTGTGGCTGTATTAGAATTTGATTGATAGAATTCATCCAGTATCAAAGGATTAGACAAACATTTCATTGGTCACTGCTCACTGATCAATCAATTATAAAATATGACTGTGTATCAAGTTCAAGTTTAGTTTTAATTTAGTTCATCGAAAATCTCTTACTAACTACAGGTTTGTATACTCAGCCTTGAACTATACTGTTTGAGGGGATGACGAGGTTTGTAATATTATTTGGCTGATTAAAACAAAGTAGGTGGGGCAGATTGTCTGCTAACCTTCAACCTATTAGCTGAAAGTTTTAAATAAAAGTTTATAGTTTTGGAAATTCAATTGAATTGAAAATTGATTGAAGAGCTACTAAAGATAGTTAAGGACTAGACGGCTACTTTATCATAATTCTAAGACTCAACAATAATAAATACATTTGACCTCTCAAGCAGTAGAACCCAAAACAAACATTGAAATCGTTCCGTGTCAATAAGTCACAAACAAAAGTTAAAGCACTTTTTTAAGGAACAATTTCTGAAAAAACAATACTGTGATTAAAATTAATAGGTTTGAGTATGCTAATGAGAATATATATATATTTACATAGGAAATGAATTACTTGATTTTATCGCGTTGATGGTAAGCTGGTTAGATGAGTTCTGAATGTGTTGGTCATTAGTAATTGTACACAAGGATTTCACTGGACTCTGGTTCTGATTGGTAAAAAATGGTTCAGTAAATAGAAACAGAAAACAGGGTTAAAAATTGGGTAACTATGTGCCATGACAAAAAATTATTGTGCCGGAATAGCATACCCGATTAAGACACTACTTAGCCCCTTATTTCAGATTGGAATCAGAGATATTTTAAATAATCCGCTTACAACAAACTCATATTCTATATCGCGTATTCCTATTTATTAATAAACCCCCATTGGTCAACGTATGAATCTTGTTCTATATATTTTTTCAGTTAAAATGAACATTTTCAAACAAAAACAAATAAACTTAAATTTAATAACGAGCATTCTTACCAAACATAGTATGCAGCCCAAACTTTAAATGAATAAATATAGTTCGAAAGATAAATGTATAAAAGCGGGTTTTTATTACCTTTAGATATTCTCCAGGTTGACAAGTAACAGCACTAGATCCATCTAAGTTCGGTGAATTAATAGCTTGCTCCCAAAGTGAAGATACTTTTGAATCATAATGATCTCTAGCATTGGTTGAAATGGACGTTGGAGACATTGGACAATTATCATGAGTTAAGTTAACACCATTAAATGAATGAGATTTTATTATTTTACTAGAATTTCGTGTATTCGGTCTACAAACTAAGTGAGAACGTAAAGCTGATGATTTTGGACGTATAATAGATGAGATTACTGATTTTGAATGATTTACAGGGATTTTTAAAAGTGACTTCTTCTGTACTTTACAAGTTGATCCTAATTCTTGAGATTGAGCTTTATTTGACAAACACTTTGCCCGAATTTCTTCTAATGCATCTGAATATTGAGATAACTTCGCCTGCAGTTGACGTATTCTAGATTCCTAAGTATTTTAAATAATAAAATCCAAGAATACATAATTGAATTACAGCAACAATAGTAAATATTATTACATAAAAAAGATAACAAAAAAGGGAATACTATCCAGATCATTTAACCACAAAAAAATTTCTGAAAAAGATTTTTTTATAGGTCAGCAATAGACTTGGTCAACGAAATAGAAATTTTTAAGAGTTGAATGATCGGTTGTACATATTCTTTGATTTCATTCATCATGGTTTATTTAAGCACTATGATACCGCTAGAGTACTCAAGCCAACACAGGTGTTTTTTCAGGAGGCCAACATCTACAACCTGTTTAGTATAGAATGTAGTTGAGGAGTGACAAAAGACGTATTCCCAGAGTAGCTAGTGACTATGCACTAATCTTTCTTTCAGAATACTGGGGTTTAAAAGCAGCAATTTGAAAATCAAGATCTTAAAACTGATCGAGATAGACTTTCTGCACTATCAACCCGAAATCGGTCTTTTTATTTTGTGAAAATGTCTCAGCTAGGCAAATGTGATAAGCAGAACTCCTCTGAAGGAAAACTCTATACAAAGACATTCAGGTAGAATGATAGCATACAACGGCATCTGTCGATTGATCCAAACCAGCAACAAGGTTATATAGGGTTGCACGATATTGTCCTTCGTTTGTACCTTTGGTGACATTTATAAATATTATGAGTGTCATTCCAACAGCCACCATACTAGCAGTATCTTCTGACACTAAGAACAAACGAAGAAAGTATTAAGATGCGACATTGTACTACCAAGAATATTTGTGCTAGCTTATTATCACTTCTTTATGGGAATTCTAGATAATATATAACATAGTGACCTGAGCAACTTATCAAACATGGTTCAAAATTAAATAAAGAGATAATCATACAGTAGATTATTACTTTGAGAAAAATAGAATTCCTTTTAGTTTTGCTCTTATTTGAGCTGCCTTCTTTTTATATTGTTGTCGCAATTTTCTCCTTTTACTTTTTTTACCAAAACTATTTATATGGAGTATATCTTAGGTCCTTTTGTGGCTCACTCTTATGTCAGGATAAACAATTAGTAAAAAATAAACAAGGTTTTACTGACTTAATTAGCATTAAAAAACGAATAGCCATTGTGGTTTAAACAATCCAACCATAAAATTCATCTATCCAAGTACGACGCTGAGGAGGCCAATACGTAAGCAATAAAACTACCATCTGATTAGCAGATAAAATCTAATTTACCTAAATAAAAATATTGGTTATGTAGCGTTATTAGATTTCTGCAGTGTTAAAGTAAAGCAACGGAGTAATATCCACTATTTAGTTATATTTCAACAGTATATTATTTAAGAAGAGAACGCTCAGTAACTTGGACATAAAAAGTAACATTTATTTAACTGTGCTCATATTTTTTTCATTTTCCCTTCAAAACTACAACTTAAAAAAACATTTTTTGTATTTTGGCTAATTAATATTGACCACTAAGTTAGCGCTGTTCTAAAAACAATTGTTGCAATGTAGTAACTACTAAAAAGCTTTTCCGCCGATAATTGCAGTATAAAGTTAGGGAATATACCTGTGAATTTCTGAGCTGCTTTTCAGTTGGTTCATGAAGAGCACGTTTACGATTCGGAGTCCAGATATCTGTATCCCGTATTGGAGGAGAATCACTACAAGCTGGTGCCTTGTCGTCAAATGTTTGATAATGCGCATTAGTTGCAAGTTTGCGTGTAGTCTGATAGAAGTCATTTCTTGAGGGAAGTATTCTAGGTTTACTCAAAATTGATTTATACTTCTGATCAGTACTTCTAATAACCTAGTCAAAACAACAGTATTAAAATTTTAAGAAAATTTAATCCTCAAAAATATATACTATAGTTGACGGTTAGGTACCAGTAATAAACTGAGTGTTATTCACTCTAGTAAAAATGTCATATTATTAGAACAGATGATATACACATGGACTTTGACAACACACATCTGTACTTATCAATTCTTGTACTGCTTTTTATCGACAGGTCAACAGATAGTCTAATTTTTCGGTTGTCTTTTTCAACAATCGTGCAACCTTAAATGCACAGTACTAGCAAGATACTTAAACTGAACCTACCTAAAAATGAATGCTTATTTATGCAACCACTCTAGTTAAGATTTGAGAAACATTATTCAATATTTTAGAAGATTTGTAATAAAAATAGTTTACACTATCTCTGACTATTTTATGGGGAAACGTTTGAATTTAACCTAGAGAGGACTACTAAAAGACGTCAACTAAGAATCGAACATGCAAGAACATGGCATTTAAACTGATTTCAAAAGGTTGACTTGTAGAAAAATAAACTTGGAAGGTGATATGTTAAATAATTGCGAGGAATACGACAAGAACCCTTAGTCCAAGTTTCATACTTCTCAACTTTTAACAAGATGCAATAGTTTGTTTATTCTTTAGTGCTAATCAAATTCTTTCGATCACTTTCTTGTACAGCCTCTAAGTTATAAATATTTACCTCTAATGAACGTAAAGATGAATCCTGGATAAGAGATTTCTTATTAATTGCCTCTGATAGTAAATGAAAATTAGTGGGATATCGGGTCACCTAGTTTAAGTAACACACTTGAAACTAAGTCGATGCAACTCTATCAGAACTAAAACAAAACAACACAACATATATTATTATTTAGTGATTGATGAATACAGTACGTGATTGAGTCAATATATATGCTACACTCCATAATACTTTAGGCTGCAATCAAGAAAATTTATTCATATATGAAGATTATGAATCAGAAAATGGTTTCTTTAATTGAAAGTTACTTGAGTTGGTTTTTGGACAGGACGATTGTCAACTGAAGACAAAAGGGAACTGTTGTTGAAATTTTGAGCTGTTTCAAGAATGTATTCATCGTCTTCAATTTTACTAGATGATAAGCATCTGGCATCCCGTTTTGCTATTTGAACAGCCAAAAGTAACCGATCACGATCAATATACTGAAACCCACCAGATTCCTTCATTTCTAACGACACATTATTCTGGGATTTTTGTGAAGTAAAAATATAAATAGTAAAGATGAGCTGAATATTAAGCAACAAGCCAGTTATTAACACTTAGAATGCAGTCAGAAATTTCGATAGAAAAATCACTTGAAGTAGAAATCGGTTTCTAAAACAAATTAAACAATCTTAAAAGAAATACCGGAACATGAAAAATCCTTTATTTTTTTGTTGTTGGACAGTGTTAAGAATAATTAGTGCGGTATATAAATGCTTTTTCTCAGATTATTCTCAGTTAAAATTTCCATAAGCTTGATTAGTGCGAAAAATATAAATAATTGTTGTGAAAACACTAACAAAAATCAGCCATCAAGCAAAAATTACCAACCTATTCCATGTTAAAATGTTTCGTATAACTTGTATCTATTATACTTAATGAAACAATATTGATCATTCAATTATAAATATATACATTAGGAGTTAAACGGGTTCATTATTATTGTTGTTACTACTCCTACTGCTACTACCAAGTTGCATGAGCAGCTGTTTTAAAGTCACTGGATGGTACAAAATCGTTCTTTAGGGATTGGTAATTTCATTGACCAAAATTTGAGACATCTCGTGCTCTCAAAGTCAGTTTGGTGGTTTATTCTGACGTTGTTCTTTACATAAAAACAGGAAGTACAAAGTTTATCATATCAACTTCTAGATAAATTGATATTGATCTAAAGCAGATAAACCAAAGCTGTATACTCACTGACTTAATACCTACACTACAATACCTTATCTTAAAAAAACTGGGACGATTTTGATAAAAATCTTCGTCAACATCAATAATTCTTGAGTTTTATGATCATTTGGGAACTCAGAACTGCCAGAATATATGCTAATAGAGTCTAATCAAATAGACTCAACATGTGAAATACCAATACTACCTTATACTCATAATTTTACCGTGCAAAATCAATACCTTTTTTGTTATCCTGCTCACAAACACTAAGTTATAGCTTAGTATAATAATTTATAACTAAGATACATGCAAATCTACTAGCAGAGTTCCTTACAATCCATGAAGAGGTGCAAACATACAATGTTACATAGGTGAAACATAAAACCATAATAATTATGATAGTAACTCATTATACAGTACATAAGAAACATCCAACGAGGGTGAATCCCTTGAAATGACGGATTGTTGCAAATGATCACTCAAGTTCTACATAATATGGTTATTATTTAAGAGGAAACACTTTATACTAGAATGTCTGTTCATATTACGTGGTCTAATCACGTCGATAAAATATCCCGAACTATAAAATGTAAATACTAGTAGCCAGAGTGAAATCCATAATAAAACCTAAATTTAAAATAAGTTCATAAAAATAGAAGTTAAACAATACAGATAGCAATCGAAAACCAAAACACGACTAAGATCATCAGATTTATCATTGATAGCAGACAATAAGCGTGCTTCAAAAATTAATACAAGTAACAGAACTAGTATATTTACAGATTGTATTGGTTAACAACTTTGGATACAGATTATAAGAGCTGCAAAATCATCCTAAAAGTCTCATTAATCAGTTATTATATAGAAAAACAGCCCCAGGTAAAATATCCGCACCTGCTTTTTGCAATTCTTGAGCTAAATTGTATTTGACGTCTTCATATTCTGTTTTCAGTTTATCTACCATTAACTTTAATTTAGCACATTCATCTTCCAAAGTGAAGTTTAGACCAAACTTATCTTCCTTTCCCAAAGGTTCTTTTTCATCATTTACAATATTATACCGAAAATTATATGGCATTAATCCAGTATCAGTGGGAAAATTTGCACACATTACAAGATCTGTGAGAATTAGCAATTCTTTGTGTATACATGACAAAATATCCTCAGTAGAATTAAAACTCTCATTCAATATAAGATTTTTACACAGACTTGACTTAGTATCATCCAAAAGATGAGAGTATTCGACATTAAAATGACTCATAGAGCTACACAGTCTTGTAACAAGTTCAATAAAATCACAAGCAGAGTCAGATACCCACTTATTTGGAATAGTTTCAGCCAAATTATTTTCATGAACATTTAAAATACTACGAATCCATTGCCAAAATCTGTGGTTTACATCTCTCCAGGACAATAATAAATGTAATTTTGAAACACTCTTCTGTACGTTGTGAATATGCTGACGGAGAGCATTCGAATCTAGAAGGATCCAATAGTGAGAGGGTGGGAGCAATTTCGGTCTTTCTATAGATAATTTAAGAAAGTCTCTCATAGTTTCACCTTTCAAGTGGTACAATTTTTTCAAATGAATGCGCAAACGACCAAGCAGCCAAATGAGTCGAGGTATAGACACATTACTTCCTGGACAAGTGAAGATCTGTTCATTTTGATGAACGAAAATTTTCTTTGTCATTCCGATCGCAGTAGAAATCAAAATTTGTTCAACTTTTGGTAGGACATCAAAAGAAACTAGGATCCATATAGATCCCAGAAGCAATTGTCTTGATGTGAAGTTCTCATCAACATTCTTGCGTATTAAAGGAAATCCATATGTCAACAAACTTTGAAATATAAACCGATGGATTTCATTGTCCGAAAATTTTTCGAAACCCTCAGAACACAATTCATCCACACACCCATATTTGATAAAATATATAAGTTCAAATACAAGCCGCTTGATCGGATGTAATGCACGTATGTCATCAAACTTAGCCAACCGGACACTTTCTGCTTCCAGTTCTGAGAATCCAACAGAATTCAGGAGATTAATAAAAATTTTAATGCAATATTTTATGTCGACTGGGCCGCTCATTAGAAACTAGTGTCTATGACAACATTCCAATATCCAATATCTGTGTGATATGCTTGTATAAATCAACTGATTTTTTTGCGCTCGCTTCCTGATTTTGCGGTACGTTTTCAGGTCACTGACATCGTCCAATTTGGATAATCTTCCCACTCGGTTATGCTAAGCCTATTGGGTGTGATGGTTAATCAGAGGTTAATATTTTTTGGATATAAGTGATTGCCCTTGATCTTTGGTAAAGGGATTGAAATGACCAGAAGTGGTCACATCATCAGGGAGTAAATTATTTTTTCTCAGTATGAAGGGTTATAATTCAGAGTCTAGATAAAGAGAGAGAAGATAATGTTAATGAATAGTAATTAAAACTCTTATGCAAAGAATGTGAACAAAAGAGATGGGCTAATGATAGCAGCAGTATTGATAGCAACTTTTGTAACAGTGATACTGGCTATGATAATAGAACTAGTAGCTGTGGTAGTGAAAAGGCACAAGACATGCGTCGATTACAGCAATTCCAAACGAAAAACGGTAAGACATGAACGCGTACATGGATATTAAGTTTCCTCATAAAGTCATCTATCCAAGGTGCTATGGTCACGTTGATTGAGAGGGCATTTCAGACAGAGTTGATCCTTAATGGAGAGAGATGTGATTTTATCAGGGTGCTGGATTTCATGTCTTATTGGTCGTGGATTGCCTCGTGAGGTGCAGTAGTGAGGCTCGGGTGTGATGTTTTTATTCAGATGATCAGGCGTTTTTAGTATGCAGTGAGTCACTAGCAAGTTGTCTTATTCTCTCCTTTAGCTTGGTGAAAACAATCCTTGATGGTGTAACAGGCTTCGCAGAGTTTATACCTTAATCTTATGACCCCCTTGTGGCGCGTTCCACAAAAGTCACTGTTGGGCAGAATACAAACGAACTGATAACAACGGCGCGTACTGGCAACACAAACATATGAGGAACATATGCACAAAGGCTATAAACGAAGACAGGCTTCAGTGCCAAATAAAGTTTATAGATAAATTTGTCTCCGATCCGAAAACCTTATTCCATTATGCAGCCTCTCTTCATCAAGCCAAAACTGGAGTTTCTCAACTGCTAGGTCCTAACGGCCCGACCAATAACGACGGCGGCGCCGCTAACCTTTTCACTGAACAATACACACATCAACTATACTGATGACAACTTCATCTGCAGCTGTAAAGAACTTTCCGTAGTGAGCCTGAGCGCTGAAATTGCAGCACTAAAGAAAAGACACTCCTCCTTGCCCAGATACGGTCCATTCTGCTATAATGAGGGAAGCAGCCTCAATCCTGGCAGCACCGCTTAGCGTGATATTCTCACACTCGCTAAGCCGAGGAAAACTACCGGAAAATTGGGAGCTGGCTCACATCACACCAATTTTCAAAGGAGGCCGACTCAGCGAACCTTCAAGTTACCGACCGGTGGCTCTTCTCTCTATACCTTCAAAAATCATGGAGTACCTGATATGCGAAGGTTTACATGACTATTTACTGTCCTTAAATTTCTTCTCACCCCGGCAGCATGGTTTCAGGAAGGGTCGTTCTTATATAACCAACCTGCTGACTGAGGTGGACAGATGGACAACCATCCGTGTTCGTAAGGGGAAGGTTGATATCATCTACCTTGATTTTTCAAAACCTTTTGATAGGGTTGACCATATATGTCTTATCAATAAGCTCAATCGATTGGCTATCAACTCACCTCTAACTGATGGGCTCACTTGATACCTAAGAATGTGACATTTTAAGGTCAATGTTAACTTCTTTTTCTCTCAGGTTATGGAATGTCCTAGTGGGGTCCCCTAAGGTTCAGTAATAGGACCTCTTCTTTTTTGGTTTATATAAACGATCTTCCACCCCAAGTATCGTCAGACATTACTTTTTCCTGGTGATGTGAAACTTTAGAGAGAGTTACGTAACCAAGGGGACATACTGGCACTTCAGGAGGACCTGACTCCACTTCAAAATTGGACTGATGACGACGAACTTACCTTTAACACTTCAAAGTAGCTCATCTGAGACATGTTGCAGACTACAGCTACAACTTAGGCAACTCCCTTCTAAAAGTATCCCAAGCTGAAAAAGATTTAGGAGTGCTGGTACCCTACGATTTGAAGTCTTACGCTAACCGCGACAAAAATGCCTTTCGAGAAAACCTTGTGCTGGTAACATTGAAGCACGTTTTTGGCCAGTTTGACGGAAGAACTTTCCATATAATCTTCAACAGTTTCATTCATCCCCACTTAGAGTACGGAAACAGCATTTCCTCCCTCACTCCTAAAGAATTACGACACCTCGGGACGTATCCAACGGCGAACCATGAAATCAATTCGAGGACTCAAATTCAAGCCTTATGAAGAGCGCCTTCAATTACTTAACCTTTACCTATTAGAGCATAGGCGTCTTAGAGGTGACCTTCCGAAAGCTTACAGTATCCTTAACGCTTCTGGACATCCCCTTAAATACCTACTTAAGTTTGGCTTCAACACAAACCGAAGGGGTAACACTGGAGATACTGGAGACACAACATAGCATAACGGACTGTAGACACAACTTCTGCACCTTAAGAGTTGTCAAATGCTGGAATTCGCTGCCGGCTAAGCTAGCCCAAGCGAATTCACAGGGGCCCTTTGAAAGAAAACTTGACATATTCTTAAGGACTAAGGATAAGATCTGACTATGATACACCAATTTCTTTTTCCTCTATTTTCCTTAATATACCTAGGTTCCTGCCTGAAGGTATTGGTGATCCACTGCTAATAGACGCGGAAGCCCATTAAGCGAAAGCTTCTTCTATTCCGTCCACAACCATTCGAACCATTTAAACTTGTCCCGAGAGGTTTCTGTCCCATTCGTGGAGAGGAGGTGCTACCATGTTGTGTGCGTTTCTAGTCGTAGGCTAATGTGTGTTAAAAATACTTTCAGAAAAAAACCAGGAAGCAACACGCCTTATTGTCACTCTATAAAGTGGAGAGTAGAACAGGTTTTGACTTCATCTCCCCCTCGCTAGTTGCCACTAGTCTCTAAACTTCTCATGGTTAGCGGTCCGAGATTGCACTCTGTAGGGACATGTGAGAGAGGACAAGCTTTATTTGTTTCTGTGGGTCTGGGTGTACATAACATTATATTTTGGCAGATTAGATTCCAATTTACTAATCACCACCTAACCTCTTATCTCTTCAAAACCGATTGCGGTTCGGATGAGTTTTCCTCACTTAGTATGAGTTTCCGTATCTTTTCATAATCCTCATAGGTTAGGGAAGCTGAGCTAATTTTAAAGAGAGCAAGAACAAAGGTTGGTGCAGAATAATATGAATTCATTGTATTTCGTAAGGTTCTCATCAGCTTCTTACAACCTAAAATATTTGAAATTCAAAGTTATTATAGATATTGACATACTTATACAGCAGAGGGCGATGAAAGATGAATATATGTAACATGATGTAGCAAAGATTTCGTTAGAGTTAATGAGGTCATAAAATTTTGTTTCGAATATATAGAATTTGGGAGGGAAGGTTCCGGAAAATTGAAATAGTGATTAGAAATCGTGGAATTAAAACACATTAGATTATTATGCAATGAAGTAACTGAAAGCAGATTAATGTTAACAAAGAGAGATATGAATTGAAATTGGTCAGTTATGAATGATGTAATTATAAAATTCACAAACAGTTGGAATGACGTAATAAATAAAAAAATAAAAAATTAAAAGGGGGGTAATGTTACCTGGGCAATAAATAAGGGTAATAAATCTTTCTTTGCCCTGGTGACATTACCCCCCTTTTTATTTTTCATTTTTTTATTTGCTACGTCATTCCAACTCTTTCTGGACGCTCTGTAGAGACAGCTTTAAGAGGGTTACTTCAGGAAATATATGTTGCTTCTGCCATAAGAGACTGGTTGGTCATAACGTGAAATTTAAATAGATCGTTTTCGTTCATATCCTCAGTGTCGCAAAATCTTTTTAGAGTTGAAATTTGTCCACCTAACATTCCATTAACCTGCAGTTTTTAAAGCCGGAAGCATGAACGAATGTCAGTGAACTTATCTTTTGAAAGATTATCTATGCAATCGAGAACGAGAAGTGGTCATTGAATGGTTTGTTGTGGTATTCGTCCACTTCCACACGATTATTGAAGCCAAACATACGATGACAAGATTTATATTCAGCATTTAACAACTGGAGAGGGTTCGAGATAGCAAAGTCTAACAACTCAGTCGGTGTGATATGGCTCAACCATGTAGACGTGGTCACTCTATGTACAATACCCAGCCTAATTATGTTCTTCAGTGGTCCTAAACAGCATATCGCCAAATAGCATGATAAGGGGGGTCGGTAGAGAAGATGATGTGACTTCCATGTATGATCTTATTGACTGGATAGCCTTATCATGGCCAACCTACAATTTGGGGATTATATCCACTATTCTTATGTCAAGGATAAATGCATTTAGTACCGACCTAGACAAAAATCTCACAATTTATTGTGAGACTCCAGATGTTGACTAATAAATGAACGTTTAACAACGTGTAAACTTTAGTATCACTCTGTTGAAAATCTCCCCTTATATGGGTAGCGTATAAATTCGTTGTGCATATGTCTGGGCTTCAAAACTAAATGAACCTAATTTTAACTTGTCATTTGATATCGCTAATCTCTCAAACTGGCGGAGGCCAGTTCTTGAACTTTTACACGCTTGCTCAGAATTCGAGTGAGATGGTGTACCCTAAGGTTTGTCGGTACGTCAAGTTGGAGAGTGTTTTCAGTGACTTTGATGCGTGACATGAAAAGCATAATCTTGTAGTGGCGTTGAACCTTAACCACACTACATCTGAAGCCAAGCATATAATTACTGAAAAGACTTACATTCAACAATTGACACGAAGACAAGTTTAATAGTGGAGAACGTGAGAATATTCATTCAGTGAGATGACATGGTCCAGCCTTGCAGACGTGGTCATTCTGTATAACTTGTCTTTACTCACATCAAATATATTGTTTTATCTCTAGCCTAAATGTGTTCGTTACAAACACCAAACGTCATATCAGGGATTGTTGCGATACGACGAGTCAGAATACACAATGATGTGACCTTCACGTAGGATCTTATAGACTAAGTTTTCATACCATGACATATCTACAATTTTAGGATCAGGTCTATTATTAGAATAATACTAATATCGAATTAGACCATAATTCTAAAATCTCACACAGGTACTTGCTAATCAAGGACCAAATCTGTAGTGGTTGTACTCTATAAAAGCTTAAATAATATGCTAAAGACCGTTGTTAGATTTCCCCTTACTTCTCTGTAGCTAACCGAGAACAGACACAATGGTGGAAGCTAGTTTTCATGAGTACTAGTGCTCTATATCTATCACACATTTTGTTGTGAGCAGAATTTCTGTTATATTTTTCAAAATTACACCTACACAAAAATTTAGCTTACAATGCTGGTATACCGGAACTTTTTAAATAGTATGAATATCAGTTAACTCCTCCTGTAGCTCCTCATGAGTTACTGCCGGTCCCAAGCCCGGGTAAAGGAAAAGTGTTGAGCATGTAGTTAGCGACCCCATTCCCGCAGAAAACTAACTCGCTAAAAGAACGCTTACCAGAAAAAATAATCCAAACCATTTTAACTCTGCCCTGAGAGTTAGAAGGTCTTCATTTAGGAGAACTATGACGCCTCATGATGGAAGCCAAGTTTCTCCGGAAGCCACGAAGCCGATGCCCTTCTAGCGACCGGGAAGACCAGTCAAATAGCAACGGAAATGAGGAGATACAATTCGGCAGTACTGGGAATCAGCGAAACCCACTGGACCCAAGCTGGACAGAAAAGGCTAGCTACGGGAGAGATGCTACTATACTCCGGTCACGAAGGAGAGAATGCTCCACACACTCAGGGAGTCGCTTTAATGCTGTCCAAAGTAGCACGAAATGCACTTGTAGGATGGGAATCTCATGGATCCAGAATCATCAAAGCATCATTCAAAACAAAGAAGGAGGGGATCACAATGAATATTATCCAATGTTATACACCCACCAATGATAGCAACGACGACATTAAAGATCAATTCTACGAGCGGCTGCAGTCAATCATAGAGAAATGCCCAAGAAAGGACCTCACCATTCTAATGGGAGATCTAAACGCCAAAGTCAGAATAGATAACACCGGATATGAAGATATTATGGGACGACATGAACTGAGAGAGAGAAACGAAGATGGTGAAAGATTTGCAAATCTGTGTGCATTCAACAAATTGGTCACAGGAAGCACAATATTCCCATACAAACACAAACACAAAGCTACATCGAAGCAGCATACACAGACCTTCCTATAGATGTCACACCACCAACGACCGAAGAAATCAGGATGGCCATCAGAAAACTCAAGAGCGGGAAAGCAGAAAAACCAGAGATTACACCTGCTGAAACACAGAAGTCAAACATAGAAGTAACTAAGAAAGCGCTCCACATGGCAATCAAGAAAATTCGGGAGGAAAAACAAGTGTCAACTGACTGGAAAGTAGGCCACCTCATCAAGATACCAAAGAAAGAAGATATGAGCAAATGTGAAAACTACAGAAGCATTACACTACTGTCAGTATCAGGGAAAGTCTTCAAGAGAGTGTTACTGAACCAGATGAAGGACTCAGTAAAAGCGTTCGAATTCCAGAGTAACATAATGGATTCTGCAAGGATCGGTCGTGCACAGACCAACTTGCGACACTACGGATCATCGTCGAACAATCAATTGAGCGGAACTCGTCACTGTACATCAACTTCATTGGTTATGAAAAGGCATTTGACAGTGTAGATAAGAGAACGTTATGGAAACTTCTTCGGCACTATAGAGTTCCTGAGAAAACTGTCAACATTACCCGAACTCATGCGACGGACTACAGTGCAAGGCCGTGCATGTAGGACAACTGACAGACGCATTCCAAGAGAGGATCGGAGTCAGACAAGGCTGCTTAATCTCGCACTTCCTCTTTCCTCCGGTGGTCGACTGGATTATGAGGACCTCCACTTTTCACTGGAAGTACGGAATATAGTGGACAGGTTGAATGCAACTATACGATTTAGACTTCGCAGATGAACCGGCACTTTTATCCTATACACACGAACAAATGCAGATGACGACAACTAGTGTAGCAGCAGCCTTTGGATCAGTAGGCCTCAACATACACAAGAGAAAAGTGAAATCCTCAAATACAACACGGAGAACGCCAACACAATCACACTTGATGGAGAAGCTCTGGAAGATGTGAAATCCTTCACGTACTTGGGAAGTATCATCGATGAACAAGGAGGATCGGATGTAGACGTAAAGGCGAGGATTGGCAAAGCAAGGGCCGCATTAGTACAATTGAAGAACACATGGAACTCAAAACAACTGCCAACCAATATCAAAGTGAGAATCTTCAATACCAACGTCAAGGCAGTTCTACTTTATGGAGGTGAAACTTGGAGAACTACAACAACCACCATCAAGAAGGTACAAGTATTTATAAATAGCTGTCTTCGCAAGATACTCAACATCCATTGGCCGGATACCATCAGCAACAGCCTTCTGTGGGAGAGAACAAACCAGCTGAAGAGGAAATTAGGAAAAGACGATGGAAATGGATAGGACATACATTACGTAAATCATCAAACTGCATCACGAGACAAGTCCTAACTTGGAATCCTGAAGGGGAGCGGAAAAGAGGAAAGCCTAAGAACACATTACGTCGGATAATAGAAGCAGATATGAAAAGGATGAATAACAACTGGACGGAGCTGGAAAGGATTGCCCAGGACAGGGTTGGATGGAGAATGCTGGTGAGCGGCCCATGCTCCTTCACGAGGAGTAACAGGTGTAAGTACGTAAGTATGAATAGCAGTTGAGAGACGAGAAATGCAAGCTCTTTGCGAAGGACATAGAGTGTAGAACAGGTCTTAGCCACACCTTCTAAATGATCATTTTTTCCAGTCTTTTTGCTAGTTGTAAGTTTAGGTAAATCTGGAATAATGCAAAAACATACATTTTCAATTGTGCTGAGTTTGTGTGTTTAAACACATGACGCGCCGTTTGGGTAGGTCTAAGTTTAGGCAATCTACCAAACGATGTTTGGTCCTTTAGTAACTTTTTTATGAGTTTTCCACTAAATTGAATTGATCTGCATAGTTGAACGTCAACACAACAAGGTGGATTGTGAACATCTGACCGATCGTTTGCTAAAATAAAGGTACGATAACGATTGGGTTTAGTTCATACAGATTCGCAAATGTTGAAGCCTTATAGTTTTTGAATATTCAGCTGTATCTGATAGAGGATACTCAGGCCTCAAGCTAGTTTCAAGCCAAAGCTTTTGTATGTTAGTAAAACTAAACTATCATTCCCTCACTGTGAGAACTGTGCTTGGTGTGACGTCGGGCGTCTTAGAGAAATAGAAAGAAAACAGAGTGCTATCTACTACTTTCTAGTCCTAATAGCTCATTCAGCTGCCCCATGCTAAAGAATGGTTGATGATATGTGGTCGTAAACTATACTATGCCTAGTGAAGATTTTTTTATTGCCGTGCTTCCCCATAAGAATACTGATCAGACTTTCCATTCTTTTTGGTATCACTGGACGTGATGCATCCGATGTTAAGCATGTTGCATCACTTGAGTACAAGAGGTAGACAAGATTCTATATTGGGTTACGCGCTATCCGCACTTCATATCTCTTCATATACTTAGATATTTCATTTCAAGAAATACAATCAGTTTTTTCACCTCACAGTTCGCTAAGTCTCCCAAGTAAAGTTAAAGTTGATGAGGTAATCGTCTTCAAATTAAGAATTTTGCATTTGATATGTTCTTGTTCTTCTGATCCTGTAAGACTGGCAATACACATGGACACCCTCACAATAATCACAAACTGAGAACCGGTTTCTTGATATCTGTGGCCAACTGTAAGTTCATATCTACATGACTAACCACAACCTTTCCAAACTGAAAGTAAACTAACTCCCAAATATCCGATGATTTCCCTTGAAATATCAGAACCAGATAGTAAAGTTAGTTTAACTGCATGCTCATAAAGACCTCAAACCGCTTCCTAACATTAAACAATCGTTACTGGTCTATAATAAGACTTGGTGTTTCAATTTGCAGATGTCCTTGGCGAGTAATATGAGTGACTTAAAGCCCAAGCTTGCCTTCTCATTTCTTCAGCGGAAAAAGCAACTAGTTTATAATCCTAAAGTTACATCTTTGGATGCAAATAATGGCGAAGTTACTATTGAAGAGAAAAAGGAATTCATCACATCAATTGAAGATAAAATAATGCATGTATATGTGTGTTGTTAATTTATCACTTTAGTTGTTCAACTGCAAAAAAGGAAGAGCAACTTGTCATACCATTAAAGCGTAGTAAAAGCAGCTTCCAGGAGCGGATGAGAAAGAATTTCTTGCCAGCTGAGTCCTTAGACCCCCTCACGCTTCAGGCGTTGCAAGAAATTAAGGAAGGTATTTTATTGTTTCTCAGTAATTTTAAATATCTAGAGAGCCAAGCATTTTCAAGTGATTCACAAAATGTTCATGTAAATTATGATCTTAAAATACCTGCCAATAGTTCTGAAACCACCGAGGAAGTATGATACTTTAATGTTTTTACCACCAATTAGACTGAGAATGCAAACTATGATGCTATCCCTATTGAAAAGTTTGGTGTAGCTCTCTTGGCTGGAATGGGTTTTGACCCAAAATCTCTTGATAGCTCTAAAAGGTATTTTTTGTTTCTTAGTATATTACCTCATAGAGAGGTTTTACTACCTCAGCGACCAAAGGGACTCGGGCTAGGCGCAGACCCGACTGCAGTTCAAGATGCTAAACAAGAATTATTGAAATCTAAAATAGAAAAACTAACATGGGACCCCGGAGCGCGTTGTCAGATCGTATTAGGAAAAAACAAGGGTCTTTATGGCACGGTTAGTGAAAAAAATGTTTCTGATTTATGTTATTTCGTCAGATAACTGGTTTTTACATACTGAATCTCAGTTACTTAAGTCCACTTTAGTAGTTGTACTTTTGAATAAGTAGTTGTAAGTTGTAAAATAGGCAACATCTCAGAGCACGGTGTAATAGTATTGTGCACAGTGGGTAAGTTTAGTTGATTCTTGTAAAAATTATAACTAAAAATGAAAAACTTGTGTAGCTAATTTCGGCTATATCTTTTAATAATAATAAGAATAGCTCCATCGATACAATGGTACTTTCCACCTTACATAATGCCATAAATCCCAGAGCAGGATCTAAGTGTAGTTGTCAATATTTGCGTCCATTTTGATGTACTTAAATAACTCAGCTTTCAGTCTTCAAGAATCAGTAACCATCCTTTGTCCACTTGAAGCTGTAGTTAGATTCCAAGCGGGAATCTCAAACTTTTCAAGTGACTTAATAGTTTTGTAAAATCTTATAATTGTAGTACACATAAATACTCACTTGTTGCGTCCCTCTATACATCTACTTCAGCGTGATTGATGTAAAGGACACTCACAAAATGTTATCAATCATAATTCACGACTTGAGTGTCGGATTATGAAAGCCTAAACACATTTTCAACCCTCCAGTCATCTTATTTGTAGCGCAGTCAATGTTTCAGTTTTAACCTGTAACGGGCATGTATCATGACTACTTACAATCTTAATGGCCCCTAAATACCCTGGTGCGGCCGAGGGTGAGGAAAGCCCGCTCTCCCTCTCGAAATGCTCTCACATGACCACGCGTATATAGCCTCTGCCAGGGAAGTCCTACTCACTGCCTTCTCGCAGCTGGGTGTTGTATACGAAAATGAGAGGACGAAAAGCGAATGTCCGGCGCTTTAACCGGATTCCAAACCAATGGTGCACATGGGCTCCAGTATCCCGCGGGAACAAATGGCGTATCAACCAATTGTTGGTCACTGGCTTCCATGGGACTGTATCTCCTTACGATGCTCCACTACCTTGTGGATCAGACCTTCAGGTCGAAGACTCGAGGAGTGGCCCCCTAAGAAAACCACCTGCTTCGGTTTGGGCACAAGGGCAGTATCACATCCCTCACACATATCGAGTGAGATATGTGTGGCGCATATGTATTTGGTGCCTCCTTGTACCAATATCTATGGGTTAAAATAAATAAATAAAGCCCGCTCTCTAAATGCTCTCACATGGTCCTGCGTATACAGATACTCCCAGGGAAGTCCTACTCACTGCCTCCTCGCAGCCAGGTGTTGTTTACGAAATTAAGAGGACAAAAAATTGTCCGACTCTTTAACCGGGTTGGTGGGTACGGAGGATCCACCTCCGGGAATTGGAAAACCCTGATTCCAGATCAATGGTGCACGTGGGCTCTAGTATCCTAAGGAAAAAAGGTGTATAAACCAATCGTTGGTCACCGGCTACCATGGGACTGCATCTCATTACGATGCTCCACTGACTTGTGGATTAGACTTTCAGGTCAAAGGCTCGGGATGTGGCCCTCTAGGAAAACCATCTACTTCGGTTTGGGCACCCGGGCAGTATCACAGCCCTCACACAAATCAATGATAACTGTTACCCGCCTCATTGTAATTGTGTGGCGCATATGTATTTGGTGCCCCCTTTTACCAATTTTTATGCGTTTAAATAAGTATACTGTATAGGTTTCATTCGAAAATGATGGGATATGATTTAACATGCTTAGAGTAAGCACTTCCCGTCCTAATTCTTATTATTTTACAAGAGGTTATGAAGATTTATCACTCAACACGCTTTCACTCATTGTCTATCAGGAATATTGGATCATCATTTCAGTTCGAATTTATTATAGATATACTCTATGATTCCCTAGAGGTCAACGCCCCTAGCTAGCTACCCGTCGCAGATACAGTCTTTGTGGTTCAGGTTCTCTAGATTTTGGAAGTTAGTAATTATTGGTTCCTCTTGTAGACATGGCCAAACCACTCAAAAAAGGCGGCTATATATTAGTGTCTAAACTCGTAAGTCACAGACTTCTTGTTACTACATACTTGTCCGTCCCTTGTTGGTTTCCTGTCAATTATTGTTTTGGTTTTCTATTTTGCTCATTCACTCTGTTCATGCTGTTGTAGTTTACGCTAGCTTGAGTGATTTGTTTTTATATTTGATTCCACATAGTTTCGTTCGTTTATTTGTATGGATACCTAAAGTACAAATTAGTTTGTGATGGGCTTTGATATTTCGAAAGTTTATTTTCTTCCGTACATTTTTTCCATTTACATTTTCTGCTATTTGAGTGATAAAATATGAGCTGTTAAATTTATTTGAACCTCGGTTTTATAGATTTTTAAATTCATTGAAATCAATATTGGTGCATACATCTTTAATGATGTAAAATTACCGAATAGAATTTAAAGTCACACAGGACTTTATGTAGTTTCATTTTTCTGGTAATATGTTAGCTAGATTGAAAAAAGTACCGACGTTGGAAAATCTCAAGTTTTCAAAGTAACTGGAAAACTACGTAAACCTATCCTCGGAAAACACTACCACTTACGTCGGTTTGTTGTTTTACATTAAGTGGGAGTATAATTTAAGAAGCTTCAAGGTAACCAGCCAAACTAATACTTAAAGTCTGGCTGTTTGTCTGAGCCACATACACTTCCTGGATAAGTTACTCACAATAGTTAGAATTGATGGCTTAGAATCAACCTTTGGAGTACACATGCATTCAGTACATTTTTATTATGTCTGGAACTTCTTAATCCGGGTTCTAACTTCTTTCTTTTATCCTTTTCTTGTATTTTATTCATCAGTATAGATGTCATTGCTTATATTCTTGCTTTTTCTACTGTTGCGTTTTTTATTCACTATGATCGATTTATGACATTATTTGAATTAGTGAACAGTAATCTCAGACATTAAGTTGTCTATATCTTTTTCACTTCAGTAATTAAAAGGGAACAAAGTCATTCTCAGGAAATTTAACGTCACATTTATATTTAATAAAGTGTATTTTCAGATGCAAAATGCCCGAGTAAAACTCACATCAATGGACAAACATTTTTGCTTGCTCATAGCACTATTTTTCTTCCTAAAGATACCGCAGTTTAAATAAAAGTACCAATACTTTGCTGATCACTACACCTATTATAATTGCTATCTTAAACGAAGGTGCGGAGGTAACATACCTAAAACTACTCACAAAACGGCTATATGTGACCGGTATCAACACAGTTTTTCTTTTGGAGTTGTGATCACGCTACTAGGTCTTCAAAACCACTTCTAATCCAGTTTCCTCTTCAGAGCCCTTAAAAGAATGTGTTCCATATTTTTGGCGAATAGCAATAACCACTACCGCGCCTTTACCATACTCGAAATTACTTTTATTTTCACGCTCCTCTATGAAATGTGTTGTATAAGTCTTACTGACCAACATATAAGTAGGTAGAAATCACTCACATCATTCTTATAAATCCTTATTTTGTTCTAGACTAGATTTCCTAAGTTTAATCACTTGAAATTTTAAAAAGCTTTTTTTCATTTCTCGCCATAGTTTTCTTCAATTTGATTTCTTTGAATATACTTTTCAGGAAGTTAATTGTACTTGTAATCATGTCTTTCCAGAGGTTGTGACGATTAGTAGTCAAGGTTTTTCCGTTAAGGTTGTTATAACCTCTTTCTTCTTACGGTTATGACCCAGCTATTCCTATTGCTTAGTATTCTCGGACACCGACTCACTCGACAAGTCCCCAAATCAAAACACGGTTGAACAGGAAAGAGATTATATTCCAAATAACAAGGTTAGATGGAAGTAAGAAGCAAGTCAGAAGCACAATAGGGAAAACGTCAGTATATTTATAGTTTTTTACATAAGAAGATTCCAGAGTATTCTCCAACTATCGACTAGTGCTAATTGGATAAGAATTAACCAATCAGCGTGCACCAAAGCAATCATGCATTGAGCATGATTTAATCTAGTCTATGTCCCGCTAACAAAGGTGAAACAACCTATTTTTAATTTATGTTAAATTTCCTTAAAGAATGATCATATTTGTCAGTTATTTGGTCTAAGACAAACTATGTAAAGATATCAGATATTACTTGTCACGAGATCGTTCATTTAAGACGAATATAATTATCATTAGAGGGAACCTTTTGTATTCTAATATCTTGAAAATCTATTTTCTGTTTTTTAAGAGAATATTTCCATTTCTCCCTAAATGTCTAGTTAGAAGGACTAGATGGAGACACTGGTCGTGTGATTATTAGATTAAAAGTTTCGAAAGAAGCAGTCACGGTACTTCAACATACTGTCCGTTTGGTTCCTATCAAAGAATATGCTGCGTACTCAAATTGTATAAGTAAGTTTGTATTTTTGATCCATCTATGTATTTCAACTATCCTGTTCCATATATTTCCTGACTGTATCATTCTAATAAAACCACTACTTGTTTGTGATTTATTTATAAACCCTTATTTCTCGTGTAAATATCTACCATCACCCATAACTTCTCACATAATTAAACTTATGAATATTCTAAAAGTATCAACATTTTACAGTCTATTAGATTTCATGTGAAAATCTTAACACTACTGATTTATCCAGTAGGTTTAAAATTGGTGGAATCTTTTGAAAGTGTACTGTATTATTATCATATAAACAAATGCATCGTCACATTGAATAAATTAGGTTAAAGTGTGAAGCAATCATCATTAAAGTGTTCATTTATTTAGCTGCTTTACACATAACTATTTGCTACTGTGATACTATCAATTTAATCACGATTGACGGAGAAGATCGGGAAGATGTAAAAACCTTTACATATTTAGGCAGCATCATTGATGAACACGGTGGATCTGATGCAGATGTGAAAGCGCGGATCGGAAAAGCAAGGGCAACATATTTGCAACTGAAGAACATCTGGAACTCAAAACAACTGTCAACCAACACCAAGGTCAGGATTTTCTATACAAATGTCAAGAAAGTTCTACTGTATGGGGCAGAAACCTGGAGAACTACGAAAGCCATCATCCAGAAGAAACAGGTGTTTATTAACAGTTGTCTATGCAAAATACTTCGGATCCGTTGGCCGGACACTATTAGCAACAACCTACTGTGGGAGATTATTTATTTATTTATTTTAACATATAGATATTGGTACAAGGAGGCACCAAATACATATGCGCCACACAGATCTCATTTGATATGTGTGAGGGCTGTGATGCTGCCCGGGTGCCCAAACCGAAGTAGATGGTTTTCCTAGAGGGCCACATCCCGAGCCTTTGACCTGAAAGTCTAATCCACAAGTCAGTGGAGCATCGTAATGAGATGCAGTCTCATGGTAGCCGGTGACCAACGATTGGTTTATACACCTTTTTTCCTTAGGATACTAGAGCCCACGTGCACCATTGATCTGGAATCAGGGTTTTCCAATTCCCGGAGGTGGATCCTCCGTACCCACCAACCCGGTTAAAGAGTCGGACAATTTTTTGTCCTCTTAATTTCGTAAACAACACCTGGCTGCGAGGAGGCAGTGAGTAGGACTTCCCTGGGAGTATCTGTATACGCAGGACCATGTGAGAGCATTTAGAGAGCGGGCTTTCCTCACTCTCGGCCGTACCAGGGCATTTGGGGAGAGATCAAACCAGATCCCATTGGAGGAAGAAATCAGGAAGAAGCGCCCAAAGTGGATAGGACACACATTGAGGAAAGCACCCAACTGCATCGAAAGGCAAGCCCTCACATGGAATCCTCAAAGGCCAAAGGAAAGAGGAAGATCAAAGAACACATTAAGCCGGGAAATGGAGATAAACATGAGAAAAATGAACAAGAATTGGATGGAACTAGAGAAGAAGGTCCAGGACAGAGTGGGTTGGAGAATGCTGGTCGGCAGCCTATGCTCCATTTGGAGTGACAGGCGTAAGTAAGTAAGTACTGTGATACTATCTGATTATTTACAACAAATTTTCTCTAATCTCTTGTGTATTGATAATTTCATATGTGGTTGCCCTCTGTTCAAAAACTAACTTGCTAGTTACAATACTTAACCTTCAGCCACTAGCTTGTTAGTGTAAATCGCGCTCTCAAACTTTCACTTAGTCGCTAGACCCTTAGTTAAGTGCATAAATTTGTATTCGGCCACGAAATTGCATTAACCATTAAATTCGTTAATCTCATTGCTGTTGGAATTCCAAGCATGCTGAAGTTCATTTCAAATGTATTCTTGAATTAGAATGAATATTGAGTTAAATTAGAGCTCTGTGTATAACTTTTGTAGGTTATAAAAAGGAAGTAAAGCCATGATATATCGAAATTACCTCTGTGACATATAGAATGATGTAGAAATAGAAATTAATGAACGAAATGCTTAACTTATGGCAATTTGTTGTATTGATTGGATAAAGGTATATAAGATCTATTTTTATTGCTTCAATAAACTCAAAGATTTATATGAGATCATAAACCGATCAATTTTAGGCCACCATTGATAACCTGGAAGCACTAAACAGGCATTTTATTCTAGTGAGAACCTGTGACCAGTCAAGTTCAACCATGTCGGATGTGACGCAGTCACCTACCGAAGACAATCGAAGATTGTTGCGCAACACCATGGACTGGTTGAAGCTAGACATTTACACCGTTGAATGTCGGCTCAGCGTTTGCGCGAGACCAAATGTCCCATACCCAGTCCCACGTTTGGGATCGTGGACGCGCACTTCTTAGGGGTCCCATACTAGGAAAAATGGCCTTCTAGTACTTCCAGGTTTTTATTGGTGGTTTAACATTGGTCAGTTCGTGATCTCAATCAAAACTCAACTATCTCCACAACCCTATAGTGAAGGTCAAAGATTTGAAGCAAAAGTACATACCGTCGACGTTATACAGTGAATTAATAGATTTATATGCACAATTATACTAGAATATACCATACATTTTGCTTTCTATTTTTGAATTTAAATTTTTGATTTCCAAAATTTGGACCTGCTTTTTTTTGCAAATATGTGAATAATTCAACCTCCTCTTACATGAAACGATGCTCAACGTACATACTTTCTTGATAATATCAATTCTAGACCAAAATCAAGTTGATGAATACAAAGCACGCGAAGCAGAACAGTTATTACTGAAATCTAATCATAATTCCGACTCTGACCCGCTGGGATCAAAATCGACTAGATATGAACAATCGACACATAGTGACTCTATTCGTAAAACATCGAATATCTCGAAAGAGGATAAGCCACTTAAGTAATATTTACATTTTACATAACCACTAATTTTGTTAGTTTGTATATTTTTTGATGTCATATTATGATCATTTAAGTTTTAACCACAGTGAGGGTTGCTGTTGGTGAGGAAAAAACATTTGACCACACAAGGAACTAATTGGTCTGTTGGGAAACGTCATGTGTGAAATAACCAAATAAGTTCATATCTTTGAAATCACTAACTGGTCTTATCTGGGAGCGCTGAAAGACCGTTTCTTCATAGCATGGGACTCCTCATCATTGATCATCCACTATCCCACTCGTGAGAGTCGAACCCAGGACCGTAGGTCTCGCGCGCGAACGCCTAACCCATAGTTCATGCTTGTTTAAAATTTCTGTTTTACTGCTGTATGGCGGTTTATGTATCATTCATTAATAGTTCAGTTTAACTCGGTAACGAAATACAGGTTCATTTGCTTGGTTTTGAACCGCACTTTTCTCATATGTAGGGGCTCCTGATAATGCTGTCCAGTTGAAGAATTCAGATTTTGACGGAATAAATTTGGAATTCGCTATCAGTGGTTTACATTTAACCGAAAAACAGCTGGCAATCAAAAATTTAAACACTCGTATCATAATTGTTCCCACTAATTTTAATTCTGAAAGTGAATAGTAGTTTGGTTTATTATTTTGAGAGGAAGTCAAGCATATGTTGTTAGCTGTTATCGGAAAATACTTTCTCTACGTGACACAATTTTACATATATAACTATATTACTTATAAGTAGCTATTGTTCTATTGCTCAATTTTCTTGCCATTGTTTTATTCGTTGAGAAGACAGTGAATTGGTCGGCTCCACCGCAATCAATTCTGAGCTGTGTCACCCAACGTCTCCAACCATTGTCTACGACAATAGCGATGGCCCCAACCTGAGGTCTTACATCTATCAATACGGCGCAATCCAAAAGTTAATGACTCCATAGATCTTGATTAATTTTTAGTTAAATCTAAAAGCATTTTCTGACCTCATTCCAGCGATCCTATCCGGTTACTTAAATATCAATATCTACATATTATTACTAATTTCATACGTAATTGATGTAAATTATAGCATGATACTCAAAGCTCTGTTTAGTTGGTGAATTGTACATAATCTAAATGACGTTTTTTGTAATGTACAACTAGAAATCTACATATCACTGTGCTGAAGATAATTCTTTATTAGAAGGTACGTTTCTTATAGCAACCGTAAAGTGACTGTGAGAATAATAATATAAAAATCATATAGGGGGATGCGGTTGTGCTGTATGTTGTGAAATATTACAACTTTTAACTCATTAGTAACTAAACTTAATGTTTGATAATCATCGATACGATTATTTCGACTGCTTTTATTTTGCATCTTATGAACTTCCCTTTACTGTAGTGACATGAGATTTAGAGACTTGGGCTGATATACATCTTTACCAGGTGTTACATCGTTCTTAATTAACTGATTACTGTTGTTTAATTAGCTGGTTATTATCATTAGTCGTCAAAGAACTTGAACTCAAGTGCACGAACCTACTTAGATTTGGCGACTCAGTTGCTTATTCATAATTATATCATTTAGTGTTTTCTTAGATTGTCGAAAATATAGTTCTTCTTCTTTTTATATATACGGATGTTTTCTTTCCGCTTCTGTAGATGTGAACCAAATAGACCATCTGGTGGTATATCTTGGTTAAGACCGAAATTAATTGTTCGATGTTTAGATCGAAATTATTGTGGTGGAAAATATAATAAAGAGAAGGTATTCTTTCAATATTCATAAAATTTAATTGTTTTTTTTCTCACAACTAGTTAATTATTATTTCTATCGACGGTAGTCGATGCAGCTGTAAAACAGAATCTGGTCAGATAATCGAAGGTATTTTTTTAAACAAAGCATATTTTATTACTTTTCAATGTGATGCTTTTTGTAGGTCTTCCTATAAAGCATTTACAAACAATTATACCGCATGAAATGAATTCAGTTTTAATGATTGTAAACGGAGAAAGAAGTGGTCAGGTACGTAGTGTTCTTCATATTCTGTTTATCACTTATCTTTCATAATTTAGCGTAGAAAATTCGTTCATTATGTAATGTTTATCAGTTATTGTTATCTGATTTTTGCTCTTGGTTAAACTAAATATACAAAGCTACCATAAATTATTGCTATAGGCCGTCTACCCAAGCACAATTTTCTAACCGGTAAGCTGAGATCTTGTGGCTGACTGGCTCTATCTTCACTTCGATTGAATATTATATATTTCAATGCCCATTCTTAGACGATGAATTTTATAATTTTCGTAACCGTGCATTATTCACCAGGTACAATATAAATGTTACAAATAGTCCGAAATAAATCCTATTTTAATGTAACATAGTATTGTTATAACAATTCCTTAATCCTTTCAGTACTTTGTATTTTTTTTAACTATCCATCCGCCACTAAGAAACTTACTTACGCCTGTTACCCCTCGTGGAGGAGCATAGGCCGCCCACCAACACTGTTCATCCAACCATGTCCTAGGCAATCCTCTCCAGCTGCTATATCCTATTCATGTCTGCTTCTAATTCCTGACATTGTGTGTTCTTTGGCCTTCCTCTTTTCCGTTTCCCTTCAGAATTCCATGTTAGCGCTTGCCTCGTGATGCAGTTTGGTGATTTGCGTAATGTATGTCCTATCCACTTCCAACGTCTTTGATGATGGTTGTAGCAGTTCTCCACGTTTCAGCTTCATGCAGTGGGACTATTTTGACGTTGGTATTAAAGATTGTGACGTTGACATTGGTTGGCAGTTGTTTTGAGTTCCATATGTTCTTCAATTGTACTAATGCGGCCCTTGCTTTGCCAATCCTCGCCTTTACGTCTACATCCGATCCTCCTTGTTCATCGATGATACTTCCCAAGTACGTGAAGGATTTCACATCTTCCAGAGCTTCTCCATCAAGTGTGATTGTGTTGGCGTTCTCCGTGTTGTATTTGAGGATTTCACTTTTCTCTTGTGTATGTTGAGGCCTACTGATCCAAAGGCTGCTGCTACACTAGTTGTCGTCATCTGCATTTGTTCGTGTGTATAGGATAAAAGTGCCGGTTCATCTGCGAAGTCTAAATCGTATAGTTGCATTCAACCTGTCCACTATATTCCGTACTTCCAGTGAAAAGTGGAGGTCCTCATAATCCAGTCGACCACCGGAGGAAAGAGGAAGTGCGAGATTAAGCAGCCTTGTCTGACTCCGATCCTCTCTTGGAATGCGTCTGTCAGTTGTCCTACATGCACGGCCTTGCACTGTAGTCCGTCGCATGAGTTCGGGTAATGTTGACAGTTTTCTCAGGAACTCTATAGTGCCGAAGAAGTTTCCATAACGTTCTCTTATCTACACTGTCAAATGCCTTTTCATAACCAATGAAGTTGATGTACAGTGACGAGTTCCGCTCAATTGATTGTTCGACGATGATCCGTAGTGTCGCAAGTTGGTCTGTGCACGACCGATCCTTGCAGAATCCATTATGTTACTCTGGAATTCGAACGCTTTTACTGAGTCCTTCATCTGGTTCAGTAACACTCTCTTGAAGACTTTCCCTGATACTGACAGTAGTGTAATGCTTCTGTAGTTTTCACATTTGCTCATATCTTCTTTCTTTGGTATCTTGATGAGGTGGCCTACTTTCCAGTCCATCGACACTTGTTCTTCCTTTCGAATCTTCCTGATTAGCATGTAGATGATATCACTAGGCTTCATACCAACAGTGTGCTTTTAAGACCTAACACACTAAATTTCACTTCGTAGAGGAGTTCAATTATTATGACAGGTCTATAATCTATAACGAATATTTCATAGGAATTAGGTTTATTAGTGAGTGTTATATTTTGTCAAACATATATCTAAATCAGTGTATATGTCTACACCTCATCTGTCCTTTTAGACTATACTTGTGTATTTCTTTCCAGAGCAAGACTAGAAAATCTTAGAAGACTTTAATTCAGTAAATTATTTGTTGACTTTAACGGACGTTTTACGATAATTCGGTTACGAAATTTTGTGATCTTCAGTCCTATTGTTACCAAAACTCGAATAAGTATGCCTACAGTTCAAGAATGTATTAGTGTCCATACTAACTCAGCTACGGAATTGTAGGAAAGCGATCTTGGCCTAGGTAAATAACTCACTCCCAATAAACACTGTCCACACTTTTGTTTTATCGTGTAACCCGTCTAAATTTGTTAAACACATCATAGATTATTACTCTACGCTATTTATTGCTTAAGTTTATTTGCAAGTCTACCAATATCCATATTGCGTATTTCTTGTTTCATATCACAAAGTCATATTCATTTAAATGACAACTATTCTGAAATTCCTCAATTTAATCATGATCATAAACATTGTTACAGTATTTCATTAAATTAATCAACAGTGTAGTGATAACCATTATTCTAAGTACACTTGTTAATCATCAGCATAAACTTTGCTACGTCAATACTCTAAAACACCTTACATGTAAGAAATAATTATCTCCATAGTCATAAATACCACTTGACTTTGATCGTTTCTATTTATTATAAGACCAACTAACAGTACCGGATGACACAAACTAAAACAAATGGAGTGGAGTTCGAACTTACAACCTACTAATTAAAAACTAAGTGTTTCGCTTACTAATTCACCGTTGGATGTAAATAATAATGCTTAGGAGAATTGTTGTATAGCAAAACATCTATAAAGTATCAATAACTGTCTAATCATTTTTTCCATTTCCTTCCTTTTTGAATAGCTTGCACGATTAATTAGACGTGATAGTCGTAACCAATTAGTGGATGTAAAAACTCGATCTGGAATCCCTTTGCAATATCATTTCGATTGTGTATGTGCCATACATGATCCATTCGGGAATTGATAGAAAAAAATAATTTACGACATTCTTGAATGTTTGGAATTTTTGTAAATAGTATTTTTTTTTACTTATTTACACATAAAAATAAAAAGATCATCTGAAAAATTAGAAATGTCTATTCCTAATTGTTTCTCCTCATTTTACAGTTTAGTTTTTCTAAAGCTACTGTTGAATAAAAAAACTTAATTCTGAGATCATATAATTGTGTTTAATTGACAAACTTGGTTAAAATCATGTACTCAATAATTACTAGCTTCGAGAGGTAATTCTCGGAGTTCTAATGAGAAACCACATCCAATAAGGCTAATCCGTGTCGGGGCATTTACCTACCGCAGGCAATAGAAGATGGTCGCACAATATCGTGGAGTAGTTGAAGTTAGACGTCAGTGGTCCAGAAGTTAAGTGTTGGCGCGCGAGAACAAATATCCTGGCTTTGAATTTTGCGTGTGGGATCCTGGATGCACACTGCTCACTAGTTCCATACTAGGACGAAACAATCGTCCAGTGCTTCCAGGTTTTCATTGGTAGTTTAAAATTGATCGGTTCATGATCTCAGTTAAAAGTAACCTTAGGAATTTAATATCGTCTATTAGCTAAAGCGAATCAATAAATTACAAAGTTTCTCAGATAGTGTGTCAGTGTAACAAAGAAAATAGCGTGATTAGACATGCAAATTAATAAACATTAAAGTAATATTAGGTAATGAAATTCTTCCTGCCCTCCAAAAGGAAAGTAAATGGATTTAAATTATGAACTCATAAATTTAAGAAGCTATTGTTGATAAGTCGATGTAACCATGTGACCGATTAAAACTGGATGATCTGTGATCGTTAGATTTATGCAATCATTATGAATTCTCTAAGTCTATACATTGCTTGAGATTTATGCCAATTTTAGGTAATGAACAGCTTTTGTATGCAGAATATAGTTCGAATATACGACTTATTGCATATTAATGACGTCTTTACAGTCTAATATACCTGCATTTTACTTCGAAATTTCGGGTAGTTCCGCATTATGCAAGCGATGATATACAGAGACATAGATTAACCAAACACATGAAAACTTTTAATCGAACAATTTAAGTAAGTATTTGATCAGGTTGTCTATTGACTCCAATTAATAAACCTAAATCTACTGGGCAGAAGGTAGAGTGGACGTAAGTGTTCTAGAAATACCCGTTGAGATTTTATTAAATCATCCATCCAACTACGCAGAACGACAGAATTTTTCTGTGACCTTAGTTCGTGAACTTGTGTTTTCTTAGCCACCGTTTATTTCAGTTACTCAAGTGAATGGATTCATAAGGCTTTGATTTCAAATTCATGACTATTTCTGCAGTAATTTCCTTATAGCCTATAAAAAGATTGGTATTTTCATTCACTTAAGTTTCAAGATAATTTCAGATATCGATTATTTATACAATCTGGAACATCTAGTTGATCATTCTCCTACTACTGAATGGCTTTGTTGTCCGTCTCACACATCAATGCACTCGTTTATAACATAGATTGAATCAATAAGACAAAAGTAAAATGTTCACAGATTGAAATCATGAGTCAGTTGAAGCTAGACCACCATTGAAAACCTGGAAGCACTGGACGGCCGTTTCGTCCTAGTATGGGACTCCTCAGCAGTGCGTATCCACGATCCCGCACCACGCGGGGCTCGAACCCAGGACCTAGTGGCTTCGCGCGCGAGCACTTAACCGGCATCCAACGGTGTTAATGTTTAACTTCAACCAATCCACGAAGTTGCGCCACCACATACCATTGTCTTCAACTGACTCATGATTTCAATCCGTGAAAATTTCTAAAAATCTCCGCAAACCCCTTCTGATAAAAGTAAAATGTGACAAGCAAAAAGCTCGATAAAAAACATATACTTTATAACTAGATTTATTAAAAACTAATATATCTACAGAAACATGCCCATTGTAAGTGACTGACATTGTATAAATGTTTACTGGTAAATTATGCCATATACTAACTGTAATTAGTATTAATCTAATGATGAGGGGTATTCCTGTCTCAAAAAAGTGTTTTCGTTTTGGACATTATGATGCTTAGTATGATAATAAAAGCATCGTACTTAAATCATCTAACTTGAAGAATACTACACTACCAAAAGTAGTAAGCGCAGCATTGTAGAATAATGTCTCAATCTTGTATAGCATGCACCCTAGTAGAAACTAAGGGTTTTATAAGATAATGATCAAACTCACTGTTTATTTTGACTGGAAAATAATGAATTTTAAGATCCTTCATTTAGTTGGTAAATAAATAAAATTGCTAAGAACCCCGAAAGGAATCCATTTTCAGTTATACATTTTCCTTCTAACCAATATAAAGTGATACTTCATGTATGGTATGCATCGACTGGTAGTATGACAGTAGAAAGTGCATTTTGTGAATTCTTTTGGACACTCCATTTATTTTGGAGAGTTACATCATTCTTAGATGCCTGGTGAGCACCACAATTTCGTAATAAATATGGAGAGCTTGACGATTTTTAAACCACCTAACTTGTGATACAACTGATATTATGTTCACTAATCGTCCACGCATGTACGAATGAACTTATTGTAATCTGATTCTAAAAGACAAAATGACTCTGATAATTGGGGGCATAAATACGATGTGTGAAATACATAACTATTACAAATACACAAAATTGTAAATACTTAGTTATCTACCAATACACAGATGAAAAGTTATTTTCATTAGATTCAGGTAATGACATCAAGCAATAAATAATCAGCTGATTATTGTATATTACATTAAATTACA